CAGCGGCGTCAGATTCAACGCCGTGCTAACCTACCCGTCCATTTTCAACGTAAAGTTAACGTCCTTTTACAAGGACACTATTCGAGATGAGAACGTTTCGCCCGCATCCTCCCGGGAGGGCGCCCACATACACAAACAACTTTCAGGATCAACTATCAAGTATCTTCGTTTCCAAAAGTTATCGATTTCGCTTCCCATAACGACCAACTGGCATACACACAGCACAACTGGCTAAAACCTTTTTGTAATATAAGGACATCGTTTTGGGTGTCGTCAGATCGAAGAATGGCTACAATGTATCTTCATGGTGAAGAATAACGTCACCTTTTGTGACATCTAATCGTGAACGGGTCAGTGGCTTGTCGATGATTCGCCACGTTGGACATCAAACAGAATCTTCACCCCCACCCCGAAAAAAAATATGGTCACAGTCTGGTGGTCGATGATCGGCGTAATCCACGCTTCTTCTTACCGCAATGCGAGTCCATTACCTCTCTCGGTCATACTGTTACCGGCCTGATGAATTTCGAAACCGCCTACAAAAATGACCCGGAGCAAAAAGGGGCCCTATTCATCTACGAAGAAAATTGCCATGATTTAGGGAAACGTCCCTATTTCTATCTATCTATTTATATAGAAATACGAAATATGACTGCATTGGCTAGTCTATAAACACGAGCATGGACCTCTAAGACCATCTCGATGTTTACAATCATAGGAAAGCTTGTGCTAAAACATAAAATATGGTATCAAGCATAAAATAATTGGATAAGGAATTATTAATTATGACCCTCTGTGAAAGATAACGTTTTGATAAATATAAGGTGAGGAAAGGGCTAAAAGATAATTCTATTTTAATTTATTTAAATTGATCAAAAAACAACAGGTGAACGTCTAGTTAAAATTAGATCTGGACTTACGGAAAAGCTTGACTGAGTAGGGCCACGCGCCAAGCTATATGATGTGGGAGTTAAATAAACATCAGTGATTTATATTAAATAAAACTGAATATTTTCCTACGGAAAAATATAATAATTTGACCCTATTGAGATGGAGATTTTATATTGGCGCCAAAAAATAAGTGTCGCCAATACACTAGTAGGAACACTTCAGAAGCAACACTATACCCTAACCTCACGGGAGTTCCCGCTAATCTTTAACAAAATTGTTCAAGTTGTTGTGGCTTTAGAGGTAAATTTTGCTGTAAATGGTTAATAATCTGTTTTAAATAACGTTGACGCTGTTTGAAGACATTTTGCATGATGGAGGACAACCATTTACTGGAGAGGTTGTAGTTGGTGAAGAGTTGAAGATTGATGTTTCCGATATAGAGATGTTACATTGGCGCCAAAAAAGTCAGTGTAGCTGGTAGAAATTGGTAGAAACACTTCAGGAGCCACTCTGCACCCTAACCTCACGGGATTTCCCGCTAATATTTAACCAAATTGCTAAAGCTGGTTATTTTCTAGGGTTACATTTGGCTAGGAAGGGGTTTAAATAACGTTGACGCTATTTGAAGACATTGCATGACGGCACATTTCCTGAGAAGGTTTTAGCAGGTGAAGAGTTGGAGATTGAAGATTTCAAGATGAAGATTGCCGTCAAAACGTTCAGTCTTCCCAATACACTGCACCCTCTCGAAGCTCACTTGCCCCACTAACCATTGGTTAAATTAGTGTTGCAGGAGTCAGCCAATTGGGCCAGAGAGGGTTAAATAAAGCTTTTATGGTAACATAAAGTCAAAAAATATTTCACTACCAAAGTAGTTGTTGATAAAGGCCTCAATCCAAAAAAGAAAATATAATGCAATAAACACATTACACAAACTAACTTTAAAACAAAATATGAAAAGCGTTCAACTAATCGTGAAAATTAATTGTACGAATAATAGACTTTTCTGCGTGTGAAAACGACCCCTCGGAACAATTTTACGCTCTGCTGACCTAACGCCAAATAACAACTCGTTAAGAACAGTGGAACAGTGTTGTCCACGAATGTTAAACAGGTCAAAATAAATGATTCTTGAAGAGTTGATTTGTTATGCATAGTAGTCATTTCTTCGCTCGTGATTCTCGTGAAAACCCGCCGTATTCAGAACACATCTTTATACGGTCCTTTAGACTTTTCCTGTGATATTCAGTGTGATTACATTAAAACTTGCTATACCCTTACAGCCTTAGAAGTTACGAATAACCTTAAAAACTCTAATGTACCTTATTTTTATGGCCATAAAGCTGCTAACACAATAAAACAACTTATTGTTTATATAGTGGAACCTTTGTGTACGTTATGAAATGAAAGTATTGTTTACAAATCTGTATTTCCAGAATGTTTGAAAATAGAGGTTCATCCATGGTTCCTTCCATTTCTAAAATAAGTGATAATGTCACATTATGTAACAATAACCATTTTTCCAGTTTGAGAGAATTGTAATACCACATTTTTGAACTACTTGTAACTAAATAATTTGTTGGACAAAAATCAGGATGGTTTCCGTAAAAATAGAAGTACAGAAGACGTTGTTCATACAACATTGAAATGTTTGGAAGAAGGGTTCGGTGGTCACTTTTCTTGACAAGAGTAAAGCGTTTGATACTATCCCGCATGAGCTACTTATTAAAAAAATTTGAGCTGGTATGATTTGTCAGAGGCTCCATTCAAATCTGGAGGACAGTCTGCCATTCTGAAAAATGTAAAAATAGATGTAACACAGGGCTCAATTTGGGGTCCGGTTCTGTATTTGATCTATACAATTATATTTTTACGAGGTTACGGATCGTTCCTTAACAGTTATTACATCTTCCATTAAGGGAAACGATTTGGGAGATCTTTTAGAAACAAATAAGAATTCTTTGGTCGGATGGTGACTGGGGTCATTTCGAATGGGTTACATCTTAATCAAGTTAAAACAAAGACAATTGCTCTGGGCCTTCTCGATCTGTCTGGGGTCTCCGACATCGTTGATCTCCTAGAAATAAGCGTTGATCCTCTCCTGAATTGAGGTGATCATTGTGAGAGACTGGTCAAGCGCCTGAACTCTAATATACATCTGTCAGGTTTCCCTAAAAGTAATTAAAGTGTTTACTATGCATTTATTTATTCGAGCATAACGTATGGCATACTGGTCTGGGGACAATCAGCATCTGATAGGGATGTCTTTGCATTCCAATAAAGAACCATTCGAGTCATTGACAATCTTGGGTATGAAGAAAATTGTAAAAAAAAGCTTTGTTAAATTCCATATAGTACATTGAAAAAGACAGAGACCCTTTCAAGAGAGAGATTGGTTGTACAAATTACTGGATGCCCAATATTTCCAATTGTTGGCGCAAAACCTTCAAGTCTTTTAATATGCTAAAAAATATTAATTAATAAATTAATATGTTGGTATCGGACTTTCACCCCGCAGTGTTGCCACTCCCCGATGTGCTGACCCTAGGGGCCAGGTGCCCGGAGCTTTCCTTAGCTTTCCTGCCAACGGGGTTGGGCTCCGATGGGGCTATCGACAGTTAGGTCATTTCAGCCCCAAAACCATGCAAACTATAATCTAGCCTAATACTAATTAAATTAGATAAGTAAGTCACACAAATAAATACATTTGTGCACTGCATTCATTCTGAATATGTTGGTATCGCAGGCTTTTATGTCTGTCAATGAATTTTGTGAATTTGAAATTTAATGTTACGTATTTATAAAAACATTTATTTGAATATTTTGACTGTGTAATACCAAAAGCTCGTGGGGGATGACTGACTATATGATCCCTGAAAAATTCTTTACAACATCCTATAAGTCTCAACAGACTATAAAGAAGTGGAAGAACTCAGGAGAGCATTACAATGATATGATATACAGATGGCTCTAAAACAAAAAAAGAAACTGGATCGGGTGTTTTTTGTACAAGCCCAAGATATGAGCAATCAAATTCATTAAGGAAGTACACTTCGGCCCTTTAAGCAGAAATACACGCCATCAAAGCTTGTGCCCTAGAAAATCTTAAAGCAGATTATACTGGCAAAATAATCCCCTTAAGCTCTGATAGCCAAATAGTTATTGAAGCATTAACAGGTAAAAAAATCACAACAAAATTAGTCCGTGAATGCATCCAAAATCTCCAAAACCTGGGGAAACACAACAACCTATATCTTCGGTGCCAGGTCACAAAGGGATTTTGGGTAACGAAAAAGTAGACACGCTGGCTAGACGAGGATCTGCAACACCATATATAGGCTCCGAACCTATATTTGGGATAACAAAAACAAACACAGAATCCTCCATCCATGGATCCAAATGAAACAAAAGGAGAAGTGGAGCGGCGCTAAGTATACTTATGTTAAAACAACCCTCACCAAGTCTGGCAAACTCACTGCTGCAGTAAGAGAGGGCTAGTCTCAGAGGAATGATGGGACTATTAACCGGTCACTGGCTTCTGAGAAAACACCTTCACAACATGCCATATATAACGATGATCCCATCTGCAGATTATGCATTGAGTAGGAGGAAACAGCCACCATATCATCTTCGAATGCGAAGCAGCGGTTCAATATTTCTGAGAAGAAGGATCGAGTCTATTGCACTGAACTAGGGAAGTAAGTAGGTACAATAAGCCAGAAGGCTGCAGTGCCTGGGGAGAACAAACCCCCCTTCCTAATATGCTCATCACTATCCTCATCACCACTACAATAAGTACTATATCATCCTATTATAATATTTATTTGTTCTCTGTGGTTATCAATTTTAATTTGATGTCAAACAATGGTTGGAAATGTGAAGCCCTTGGAGGGATGTTTGATAACTGTTGTATTGCTTGCCATTTTCATGTAGAAAGTTCGTGTTGTTAAAAGGTTTCTTTTTAAAGGAAGTGTCTTTACATAAACGATTATTTATGAACCGAAATAAAAGAGTCGATTGTGTATGTTAAAATTGTGAGGGAAAGGGCAAGGATTCATCTTAAACGCTTTTTCCAATATGTGTATCATGATTTTTTTTCTGTTTTTCAGATGAAGAAGCCGAAGAACACGCGGAGATTCGACGAGACGAGATGGAGGAAAAGTTGAAAATCAACCGGAGCGACACACCTGTTCAATGTGAGTCCAGTTGAGAAAATTATGAAATTTCTATTCGGCTTCTATTGGCTCCTTTCTTCGTCGGATGTGAAATTGCATAATTACGACGGCAAATAGTTTATAAATGAGGCTCATCGATTGCTTCTCGAGAATTAGCGTTCCGGCGAATGTGACCTAAACGGAGGCGTGTCCGGACTTAAAATCCTTTCACTTTGGATTCTTATCTGCCCACTGGGCGATCGTCCCGTTTTCATATTTTTAAATAGCTTGAAATTTTTTTGATTCCTTGGTGTGGTTTATTGTAGATATACGTAAACAAAGAATTACATTTACTTTGCATTTTAGGAGTCATTGCTTCTTAGAATCTTTGATTTCTATTATTTCATTCGCAGATACCTTATTGGGTCATAAAATCATTTATTTCTCCTTTTTATAATTAAGTTGTCACTATATTCCGGTGGAAAGTTCATCTTCCGTGTTCTGTCAACTGCCAGTCTGTGTTGCCAGGTCTAAAAAATTTCCTTCCGGAGTTGTCTCGATTTTTAACCATTTTAACCATTTAAACATTTTTTCTCAAAACCTGGTGAAAATCCTGACCCCGGCAACACTGTATTAGAGTTAGGAACGGGTTAGGTTAGGTTAGGAAGGATTAGCTTACATATCCACACAATATCCAGTTACTCCCTATTTATAGACATTCGGCAGTGTTGCCAGGTCTGAAAAAATATTTCCCTCCTGGAGTTGTGTGGATTTTTGACCCGGAGCACTTCCATTGAGAGGGAAATCTCCACCTATGACAACATTGTGTTAGGGGTAGGACAGGTTAGGTTAGGTTAGGTTGGATTAGGTCGTGTACAGGCTAGGATGGTTAAGTTATATATCCACATATACAGGCTACTCGTGTTACAAACTTCGCCAGTAGATTCTACATTCAAAATGGCACCGAAAAGTCCTAATTACTAAGGTCCGAATCTCAACAGTTTCCGAGTTATTCCTTTTTTTTTAATTTTTAAGATTTCACGACATTACAAATAAAAAATAATAACGCCAAAACTAAAAGGTATATACTATTGAAAACTACGTTAAATTTCCAATAAAGTGTGATCAATACTAAACTTGTAAACATTGGTAAAATAAGAGTTTTAGTAGCCAGAACATATAAATTTGTTTCCAAAATTGAATAACTTACTATGGTGAATCTAAACTACTATTTCCAAACCTAGCGACCAGCAAATTTCAGAAAACGTACTCCATTTAATATTCTATTTAGTGGTATAATTACTTTTTTAATTACTTTTTCAATGAAATTGATGAAGGTAAGGAAAAAACCGTGGTTGACTGATTGGTAAGGTGGAAGGATTAATAACAATAAAAAAATTTAAAAACAACTAAAAAACAGCATGTCCTAAAGAAAATTTTGAATGAATGAACTAAAGATTTTTGAATCTTAAAACTCTTTTATTCCGGATAATAATGGTACAATAATACAATAATTCTTTAATTGAAGTTGCAGTCGTGTTGGTAAATAAGTAAACACTTGCACTATTTGAATTTCAAACCCAGAGTAAAAAACGTTTTATAAATTCGTTTAAAATTTCCTTAAGTTTTTTATTTATTTTTAATCTTCCGCCTTATCAATCTGTCGAACACGGTTTTTCCTTTCCTTCATCAATTTCTTCATCTTTGAAAAAGAAATTAGAAAAGCAATAACACCATTAAAAAGGATATTAAATACGTTTTCTGAAATTGGCTGGTATCTGGATTTGGAAACAGTAGTTTAGAATCACCATAGTATGTTTTTCAACTTTGGAAAAAAAATGCATTGTTCCAACTACTCAAACGCTTATTTCACCATCGTTTAGAAGTTCACTATTGATCATCTTATTGGAAATTTAAGGTAGTTTTCAATGGTATATACCTTTCAGTTTTGGCGTTAATCTTAAAAAATCAAAAAAAGGGGAATAACTCCGAAACTCGGACCGTAGTTAATTAGGCCTTTTCGGTTCCATTTTGAATGTAGAATCTACTGGCAAAGTTTGTAACACGATAACCGAACACACTGTATATCCAGTTACTGCTTACATAGAATTCGGTGCCGAGTAACCATGCATAAAAAAATATTTCCTCAGCCGAATGGAGTGAATTTTTCACCAGGGACACTTTTGGCTTAAAATTGGGGGAAATCCTCCCCCTGGAAACACTGGGTAAGGTTAGGGTCAGGTTAGGTTATATATCGAGGTACTGCTTATGCATAAGGATTCCATACAGCGTTGCCAGGTCTGTAAAAAATATTTCTCCACCTGAGTTGTGTAGATATTCCCAAATTCCATCCAAGTTTCACCCCGTGTCCAAAAGGATTATTGTATTATCCTCACATTTATTGAATGCAATGTGAAAATGCACGTTATTTCTGTTGTGTATGTTCTTGTTTTATAATATTTTTATTGGACGGCAAATAAGTAAAATTTACTATGGTATATAAGCCGTTTAGTCAAAACTTTCCCACTTAAAAGGTATTTCAATGATGATATACGGTAGTTTGACAGTGGCAACGATTGGTTGGAAGTAGCGGTTGGTTTGAGGTTTTGGGACTTGTCGTCAGGCCTGGGATAACGTTCGGCCCCAGGTCATAGATTCCACTCTTCAACGTACTGAGTCCTTGATCTCCTCCCCACTCTGGGCCAATCCTTTCTCTCCTGATCTTTCCTTCTTCTTTCATTGTATAATATCCTACATCCGAGCGTTAAAGGTTTAGTATAAACAATACGCCTCTATTTTTACCTTTCGGCCCCTTCCATCCACCCCGCTACGGTTGACATTTACATCTCGCCTACGGGTGGTCCGAGAGTTGTACGATATTCAGTAACCAGCTGGATTTAAATGTAACGCGATCTATAGCTGTTTTGCTTTGGTCATTTTCGACATTTCGCGTGACCGAAAGCCAAGTATGGACCTGCGAGAATGGGCGGGACCGAGCTACTGACTAATATCATGTCATTGTCGACATCAACACTTGCGTTGGAATATTTTCAAATCAAATTATTTTCTTCCTAAACACTCACGAACGTAATAATTCATGGATGTATCAGAGTCGTAGAAGGTTTTTTCCCTAGGACTTGACAAGGGAACAGTTGGATTTTTTGGTTGACCCAAACACCTATTCATTAAGTCCATATCGGTCTTATGAACGTTTTGTAAAACAGTAAAAAAAGTCCAAGTTTTGAATCTATGTCGATGTACAATCCTAGGTAGGGAACAAGTCGTCGGTATAAGAATTTCATTCAAGCCTAAAGGACAAACAGTGTGAAATGACTATTATCTTAAGATAACGGAGGTCCTGAATGGGAAGAAAAACGTGTGATGTCAGCAAAGTTATAAAACGTGTGAAGAATAAATAAAGCATTAGGGAGAATTTGTCGAGTTTCCAAAAGAGGCCTGGGTTCTCTAAATCCAAAATCCAAGCTTGACTCGAGCAATACTGATTCCGTTAAAAAAGTGGCTACTACATCACCAGCTGTAGTGGAGTGAAAAGAGAGGAAACTAAAAACACGTTGTTAAGAGTTAGGGTCAAATTAGGCTAGGCTGGATTAAAGTTAAGGACAAGTTTGGAATTAGGAAATTATTAGGTTAGGTAGAGCTAGGGTTGGGTAATGGTTAGGTAATTCAGTGTTGCCATGAGTGTGGATTTTTCAAAGTTTTGGGGGTAAAAGTGTCCCTGATGGGAAATGGATAATCCATTGGAGAAACTGTGGAAAAATGTAAAAATGTCTCATTTACAAAAAATAAAGCTAACATTAAGCAATAGTATTAAATTTATTTTTAAATTTTATTGTTATTAAAAAAAAATTAAACTATAAAACGCCTTACACTCCGACAGCGAGGTTTTTAATTAAAAAGTGTAAAAATCAAATCAAATAGAAGATTCAAAAACGACATAGCATATTGTCGAATTATATTTTTTTCTTTTAGGTACTGGTGAATTTCCGAGAAAATTTTTTTGAACGGGTGGGGAAATTTGGATGGAATTTGGGAAAAAATCTACACAACTCGGGTGGGAAACTTTTTTTTCCAGACTTGGCAACTACCGAATCCTTATGGATAAGCTTAATATGTAATCTAACTTGACCCTAACCCTAAACCTAACCTACCCTTTATCCTAACCGAACCTAAACCTTTTAACCTATCCCTAACCCTAACCCTTCTTAACATAGCCTAGCATGCCCTAACTTTAATCTAGCCATTGAACAATGTTGCCAGGTGTGGGAATTTTCCCCATTTTTTGGAAGAAAAAGTGTCCCTGGTAGGGAGAATCGAGAGGTAGAAAGTGGAAAAAACGCCCAATTTACTAAAAAAACATAATTTTAAACAATAATAGTAAATTTATTTTTAAATTTTGTTGTTATTTTATAGAAATAAAACTAGGGAACGCTTTACACTCAAGGTTTTTAATGATATTAATAAAAAAATCGAATGCATAGGTTTAAAACCGACATTACCCACTAGTGACTAGTTCCAAGTATTTATTACCTGTGGTGGTGGATTTTCAAGAGGCGGGAAACTTTGAACAGGGGGGGAAAATTTTGATGTGATCGGGGAAAATTCACACGGATCGTAGGGGTAAATATTGTTTTTCAGACCTGTCAACACTATCCCGAATCCCTTGCATAAAAAGTATCTGGTTATATAACCTAATCTTTCCTAACATGTCCCTAACCCTAACCTAACCTGTTACTAGCCTTCTCAGTGTTTCCAGAGGTGGGGATTGTTCTCCAGTTTCATGGAAAAAGTGCTACATTTAAATAAAAAGTAATATAATTTTTAACAATAATAGTATATTAACAAGATGACCGCACTGGCTGGCTGGTATTTGCCACGGCGGGTCTGGTTCTAAATTCTGACATAGCCATGGCTTTTTAATTGATCATAATATGAAAAATTATTGTATAACTGTTTGACACCTCGTTTACGACACCCAGCGGGTACTTGGAGCGCTCATGATATTATGGGAATTACTTTACTTT